TTACATACATACATCATGTTGGTAATGTTTTCCTGGAGAACCCTGCCTAATACAATATTCTAAAAAATGTTTTCATTGATTTTTTTAGAGTGGAAAGGAGGGAGGGATGGGGGGAGAGAGAAACATTGATCAGCTGCCTCCTACTGGGGGATCAAGTCCACAACCCAGGCATGTGCCCTGACCAGGAATCAGGAATCAAACTGGGACCTTTCAGTCTGAGAGACGACACTCAGTCCACTAAACCACATCAGCTGGGCTTAATACCATATTTTTAATAGTCAGTCAATGAGCAATTCACTTTAGTTGGAAAGCCATTCTGTTTATGTAATCTGAGTAATATATATATATATATATATATATATATATATATTTTATCCTCACCTAAGGATATTTTTCCATTTATCTTCAGGTAGAAAGAGAGGGAGAGACAAGGAGAAACATCGATGTGAGAGAGACACATCAACTGGTTGCCTTCCACACAACCCCGATCAGGGCTGTGGACAAACTGCAACTGTGGTATGTACTCTTGGCTGGAATCGAACCCGGGACTCATTGGTCTGTGGGCTGATGCTATACTGCTGAGCCAAACCAATCAGGGCTCAGTGATAATTTTTATGATATATACTATACCTTTTTGCAAACTATAAGTTTTCTCAATTTTGTTTACATATGAAATGACATGATACAGCTCTAGTTCTAATTTCTTTCAAACTAGTGAATATTTTCTGTAATGTATTTTCTAAATGTACTAGGGTGGCATAAGAATTTGAAAAGCTCTGCTGATCCAATTCCCCAATAAAACTGGTAAAAAGTATTTTAATAACAAACATTTCAAGCCACTGGAAATGGTCCTAAAAGGAAATAGCAAATGAACGACATCTATAATAAAATCTATGAAGATATGTAAGAGATGTGAGAATCTGTGTAACTGAACCTGAGCATCCCCTCCCTAGCTCCTTCCAGCTCACTGGTGAAGACTCCACTGCAGACTATTGTGGCCTAGAACACATGGCATTCTGTCAACTCAACTTTCACTAAGAGGGCTTTCTTCCCTGGGAGATCAGGACTTCAGTGTTTGAAATGCTGCCTCCAATTGCTGAGGGTTATTAAGTGCTGGGTGAATGTGTTTGCAAAGTGCGGACACCATTCTTTCAGTTCCTACACATGGAGTGGGATGCTGTTCATACTGGGATGCCTATTCCTTTTATCCCAGCTCATAAAGTGTATGTAACAAGTCATTTGTGGGGGTCCCGGAGACACAATCAGGAGGCCCTATGATTCTTTCTATCCCTTCCAGTGACCAATCAGCTCCCAAAGAGAGGCTACCTATTGTCCCCAAAGCAGCTACAGTGTCCTGGTGCCCCCTTTCATGGGGGCAAAGGAAGCCATAAAACACATAGCTCTTAATCACTTTTCCAAGGATTAACTTGGCTGACAAAAGATCATGAAGAGATCAAGTGAAAGGACACTGTCAGGAAAGTGGAGAATAAGGTGAAATTCAATTAGGAGTAGATTCATGTACTTCATGGAGATAGAACCTGACAAGCTTTCTGAAAAGAATCAGGGAATTAGACTTCTTAAAAAAGGCTTTCAAGCCAGAGGCAGCCAATCAATGTTTCTGACATTGATGTCTCTATCACTCTAAAAAAAAAAAAAAATCAGTACACATATTTTTAAAAAAGAATAAATAAGAAATAGAGTTTCAAAGAAAAAAAAATGTAACTATAATAAAAAATATAATTTGGTTGATGGAAAGAATACCTAAACTTGTATATGCATGATAATATTGATTCACAATGTATGATTAAATTTTTAAAAATTACCTGAAAGTCCATAATTAAAACAGAACATTTTATATATCTTCTAAGTATGTGAAAAATGTGAAAAACACACTATTACTTAGCATTAGATGGCTTAGTAAAAGTTAATGTTTTTATCAAATGTTAGAAGCATTCCTTTGACAGAAAAATGCACATACATTTAATCACATACAATCAAACATAAATGAAAACACACTGAGAGATTACATTCAGCTACAAGTACAGAAAACACTTTTTCTGACATGACAAAGGTGCTTATTGTCACATGAAAGGACCAGGTCAAGGCAGCCAGTATAAAACGCAAGTGAGAAAAATAACCATATCATTCTGTTTGAATGCACCAATGTAAATGTCATGGAGAATGAGGAATACACACTCACCAGCACCACTGACAGTATAAAGCTATGTCTTACACAAATTAGACCTTCTACGGTTATAATCTAGAGAAGAGGGAATCACAGAATACTCCCAAGCAGGAAAGTGTGAATAAGGTTCATGGTAGACACAGAAGGGCTTACAGAACATGGAGATGGATGGGTCTTTGATGTCGATCTTGTGAAATGTCAGCAGAAACTATACTAATAGAAGATGGAAAACAAACAGTTGGTGATGGTTTTGAGGCTATTCCTAATTGGAAGTGCAAAGATTCCCGAAAATGGGCTGGACGATGGCATCCTCAAAGCTCCTATTTAATCTCTCTTCCTGCATGGTGGCTTCAAAATCTGCCTAATGCCTTCTTTGCTTCTGGTGATTTCCACCATGGAGCCAGGAAGGGGGTGAGTGCTGGAAGATGTAGTTTCTAACATTACCCATAAGGCAGGAGAGCTCTCACTCTAGTCATTCATTCTATGACAGGTCTCTCTTCTTAAATCAAAGTCTAGTCACCAAGTATAGTTGAAAGAAAGGACAAAATGCAAAGACCCAAATATAAAAATAATTAACTTCAAACTATATTTTATAAACTTGTCATACGTAAAAATTTATACCAAATTTTTATTAGTAATGTAAAATTGGAAAAGCCTCTTATAGCTCCCCCACCAAAGGAACTTTGTTAGAGAGAAAAATACAATATATACGATAAGAGAAATTCAGGGACTATCACAAAGGCCAGTAGGAAAATCCTGACAAACAACAAACTGTTATTTTTCAATGTTCCCTTAACGCAGAGCAAAGAAAACATTATAAATAAGTTATACCTATGTGCATATTACAAATATACTTTAATTCACCCATGGATCCAACAGGCTTCAAAATGGAAAGAGAAAATATGTCCTGTTTTAAGAAATATCACTACCTATTAAACTCATGTACTACTGTTGAAAGATGACTCAAAATGGTCTTACCTCAATCTTCTTTTCTAAAAGTAAATAGAAATAGACATTCCAAGGGTGTACATTTAGAAACAGACTTCATAAACAGTGTATTTACAACTGTAGTAAAAACTTTCTCATGTCACAAGTTTTCTGAAACATTACACATGGTTTAATTTCCCACAGCTTTGTCAAGTTACTTGCATTTATTTTTGTTTTTGGTGGGAGTTTTTTCTTGTTAGAATGTTACCCAATTAATGTCTTATTCATATTGTTTACAATCAAGAGGTTTTATCCAGTGAGTCCTTTCAGGCTTCAGAGAAAAGTGGGATGGTTTTTTTCATGTTTTCAAAACTAGAATAACATCTGCAGGCTTTTTTCACATTCCATACATTTACAGGGTGTCTCTTCTGTGAACCATTCTCATGTATCTTAGCATGGTTGTGTAAAAAACAAAAGCTTTACCATAATTTTTACAGTCATATAGTTATCTCAATTATGAGTTCTTTCATCTGTTCGAACATAACGGGAACACATATGCTTTACTACATTTCTTAACATTCATAGGGTTTCCCTACAGTATGATTTCTGTGTATTTGGAAACTTAGATGAAACCTGAAAGCTTGACTATATTCCTTATATTTATATCTCTCCTGTGTGAGAGATCCTGTAAATATGAGAATTTTTTGTGTTTGTAAGTAATTTATTTGGAGGCTTTACCACTTTTTAAAATTCACTGGGTTTTACCAAAATGGAAAGGCAACTCACTCTATGGGAGAGCATAACTGTCAATGATACATCAGATAAGGGGTTAATTTCCAAATATAGAGTGCTCATACAGCTCAACAAAAGAAAGACAAGGAACCCAATTGAAAAATGGGCAGAGGACCTAAACAGACAACTCTCCAAAAAGGACATACAAATGGCCAAGAGACATGTGAAGAAATGCTCAACATCACTAATCATCAGAGAGATGCAAATTAAAACAACAATGAGGTATCATGTCATACCTGTCAGAATAGCCACCATCAACAAATCATCAAACAACAAGTGTTTGTGAGGTTGTGGAGAAAAGGGGACCCGAGTACACTGCTGGTGGGAAGACTGGTGCAGCCATTACTGAAAACACCATGGTGTTACCTCAAAAAATTAAAAATTGAATTGCCATTTGACCCAGTGATCCCACTTCTAGGAATATACCCTAAGAAGCCTGAAACACCAATCAGAAAGAATATATGTACCCCCATGTTCATAGCAGCACTATTTATAATAGCTAAGATCTGGAAACAGCCCAAATGTCCACCAGTAGATGAATGAATAAAAAAGCTGTGGTACATGTACACAATGGAGTACTATGCAGCTGTAGGAAAGAGCTCTTATCCTTTGAGATGACATGGAGGAACCTGGAAGGTATTATCCTAAGTGAAACAAGCCAAGCAGAGAAATACAAGATCATATGATCTCACTTGTTTGTGGAATATAATGAACATAACAGTCTGAAGAACAGTGTAGTCCCAGAGACGAGGAAGTAGAGTACAGGCTGACAATCCCCAGAAGAGGGGGGGGAGATAAACCATAGAACTTATATGTATGTATGCATGACCAATGGACATGGACTACAAAGCTGGGGACAGGGTGGGGAGGGGGAGGAGGGTGCCAATGAGGGAAAAAGGAGAAACATCTGTAACAAAAATAAATTAAAAAAAAATAAAATAAAATTCATTGGGTTTCGCTCCAGTGGGATTTTTCATTACTTTTAAGATAACCTGGATGCCTGAATGCTATACTACATTCTTTACCTTTATGAGTGTCCCTTCATGTGAGTTCTTTCATGTCTTCGAAGATAACTGTGACAAATAAATGCTTTAGTTCATTGCTTACAATCATAGGGTTTCTCTCCACTATGAGTTCTTTCATGTACAGTGATACCTCGGTTCTCGAACGCCTCGGATTTCGACCAAATCGGTATTCGACCAGGAGATTCGAGAAACTTTTGTCTTGGAATCCGAACAAATATTTGGAACTCGAACTTCCGAGATGAGCCGAGTTGAGCCGAATGGCGTTCATTCGGCCCAGCGCGCCTTGCTTGCGTCATCAGTGTGAGTGCAGAGAGAGAGTCACGCTTTGTGGAGAGAGTCACGCTTTACACTGAATTTAACCCTTAGACATACTGTACACTTTTATTTCTTGTTGAGACTTATGTTTTTCTACATATTATATACAAATTAGGCCAGTAAATAGGCATTTTCTGGGGCTTGGAACGAATTAATCCAGTTTCCATTATTTCCTATTGGGTTTCATTGCTTCGGTTCTCGAACAATTTGGTTCTCGACCGTCCTCCTGGAACGAATTATGTTCGAGAACCGAGGTATCACTGTATTCGAAGAGAACTGGAATACCTGAATGCTTTAGTGCATGTTTTACATTCATATGGTTTCTCTCCAGTGTGAGTTCTCTTGTGTGTTTGTAAAAAACTTTGGACTCTGAAGGCTTTTCCACATTCCTTACACTCATAAGGCTTCTCTTGAGTGTGAGTTTTTTCATGCTTTCTAAGATCACTGGGGCACCTGAATGCTTCAGTACATTTTTTACATTCATAAGGTTTCTCCCCGGTGTGATTTCCTTCATGTTTTCGAAAAGTAGAATAACATCTGAAGGCTTTTCCACATTCCTTACATTCATAGGGTTGATCTTTTTTTTTTTTTATCCTCACCCGAGGACATTTTTCCATTTTTTGTACAGATAGAGTGGGAGGGAGTGAGAGGAAGAGAGAGAGAGAGAGAGGGAAACATCGATGTGAAAGGAACACATCGAGTGGCTGCCACTCGCACGACCAACCAGGGCCGGAGACAAACTGCAACCAAGGGACATGCCCTTAGCGGGAACCGAAACTGGGTCTCTCTGGACCGCAGGTGGACGCTCTAACCACTGAGCCAAACTGGCCAGGGTTGATCTTGAGAATGAATTCTTTTGTGTGTTTGTAAAGAACTGTGATGTCTGTAGGCTTTATCGCATTGTTTACATGTACAGGGTTTCTCTCCAGTGTGAGTTGTTTCATGTCTTCGAAGATCACTGGGTGAACTGAATGCTTTGTTACACTTTTGACACACATGGGGTTTCTCTCCTGTGTGATTTCTTTCATGTCTTTGAAGATCACTGTGTGAACTGAATGCTTTACCACATTGTTCGCATTCATAGGGTTTCTGTCCACTGTGATTTCTTTCATGAATTTGGAAACAGAGATGAAAACGGAAAGCTTTACCACATTGTTTACATTCATAGGGTTTCATTCCTGTGTGCGTCCTTTTATGTGATGGAAGACCTTGGTAACACGTGAAGGCTTTTCCACATTCTTTGCATTCATAGGGTTTCTCTCCTTTGTGATTCCTTTCATGTGCTTTCAAACTTTGATAATATCTAAAGGCTTTACCACATTGTTTACATTTATAAAGGACTCCTGAATGAGTCCTCTTGTGTGACTGAAGACTTTGACAAGATGTGTAGGCTTTTCCACATTCTATACATTCATAGGGTTTCTCTCCTTTGTGAATCCTTTCATGTCTCTGAAATGTCTGATGATATCGGAAGGCTTTAGAACATTGCTTACATTGATAGGTTTTCCCTCCAGTGTGGATGGTTTCATGTATTCGAAGTGAATATGAAGAACTCAAGGCCTTTCCACATTCCTTACATATATAGGGCTTTTCTCCAGTATGACTTCTTTTGTGTTTTTGGAAGAAAAGGTAAAATCGGAAGATTTTACGACATTGTTTACATTCATAGGGTTTTTCTCTTGTATGAGTTCTTTCATGTGTTTTAAAAGTTTCATGATATCTACAGGCTTTTTCACATTGTTTACGATGACAGGCTTTCTGTCCAGTGTGAGTTCTTTTATGTATTTGAAGTGAAGTTGAATAACTGAAGGCTTTCCCACATACCTTACATTTATCTGGCTTGTCTTCACAGGTCAGATACTCATATGACTTGTGTCCATTATGACATCTGATGTGCCAATTATGAGACGACTGCTGCATGCAGACTTTCCCACTCACACTGTATTCCCATGGCTGTACTCCAGAAAGAGTCTTCTTGTTCAAACTGGGATTTGGAATAAGGCCGAAGTTTTCTCCACATTGGTTACCCTCTTTTCTTTCACAGATTTTGTCTATCAGATGACTTCTGTAAAAACCAAGATGCACGGTAATGACTTATTAATAATTTTATATTTATTAGTAAAATATGTAAACTATATTTTTATGATATATATCAAAAATATAGGTTTCCTGTGCTGTCTACATTGTTTGAAATTGAACATACTGAATGTTCTGTAAAGAAATTTACCCTTGTTTTTATCAACACAGAAATATTAAAAAATGTTTTTTTCTTTATTGCTTTTAGATAGAGAGAAAGAGAGAGAGGGAGAGAGAGAGATAAACACTGATGAGAGAGAACATCAACTGGCTGCCTCCTGCATGTCCACCACTGGGGACTGGGTCCACAACCTGGGCATGTGCCCTGACCAGAAATCAAACTGGCGACCTCTCAACCACTGAGGCTCAACCACTGAGCCACACTGGCCGGGCTATATTATATGCAAAATAATTAGGTAAAAATATTTTGAGAAGTAATACATTTGAAAAAGGTTTTTGTTTTGGTTGCTGCTTTTAAAAATTTTGTAACATGTCAAGATTCCTGCCTTGGCCAGTGTGGCTCAGTTAGTTGAGTGTTGTCCCACACACCAAAAGGTTGTTGGTTCAATTTCTGGTCAGAACACATGCCAGGGTTGTGGGTTTGGTCCCCAGTTGGGAAGTATATGGGAGGCAACGGAAGGATGTTTCTCTCTCTCTCCCTTGCCCTTCCTTACTCTCTTAAAAATTAAGACAGTGCTTTCTATAATGAGCATGACTCACCTTAGTTTTCTCCCTTGGTTTTTATACTGATCTCCAATGTCAGGATTTTCCCATATTTTTCCTAAAATGCAAACCAACAAAAATAAATCCAAGGCATTAGAAATTATTTTTAAAATCATAAGATTTAAGTCTATGAGTGGCTGTCACAATGTCCAGTTTATTTAACAATGGCCTCCCTTCCCACATTATATGTACATCTTAGAACAATGTTGACAAGCAAGAAACACTTGTCCTCTAATTGACAAGGTAGAGGTAGGTTGTCATTCTTACCTACTGAGATCAGGTTCTGAAATGTTTCCCTCATCACATCTCTGTAGAGTTTCTTCTGTGAAGGATCCAGTAAAGCCCATTCCTCCAGGGTGAAGGTCACAACCACATCCTCAAAGGCCACTAAGTCCTAAAACATCCAAAATGTGTATGTAGTAGGTGATTCGAGACAGACAGCACTGGACACCTATACTCCATTCATAGGAAGGTTACATATGACTGTCATTTGGAAACATTTATTCTATAACTGATCATCAGAAATATACTGTCTTCCCACTTTCTTATAAGTTAAATGCATCAGAAGCATACACATGTAAATCATTTACATACTTTACAGTATGTGCCCTGACTGGAAATCGAACCAACAACCTTTTGGTGCACAGGACGATACTCCAACCAACTGAGCCACTCTGGCCAGGCTAGAACACCTACTTAAAAAAATATTTTTAATTGATCAAAATGATTGTAAAGTGTGGAAGACTAAAAAATAAAAAAAAATAAAAGAAGGTAAAATATCTCATATTTTTTATGTTCTTAACAGTTTGTTGAAAATAGTAGCAACACATGACTTTCCAACTATGAACTTATGGACAAGTAAAATTAATGACACCAATGTGACAGAGGGCTCAGAAGGGAAAATGAGGAGTAGTGTGGCATGAGGTACTTGTATAGCCAGGGAAGTGGTATAGCATAACTTGACAGAGCATTGTAATGGTTTACTTGTAAATGTATTCTGAAAACTCGAGGACGACCACCAAAATAGTTTCAATATATGTGAAATTGATATCCTAAAAGGGCAGAAAAAGAGAATCCAGTAAAATGTTCAATTAAAGCCAAGAAAGACAGAAAAAAAGGGGAAAACCAAACAAAAAACAAGGTCAACATGTGGAAACAATAGAAGGTGTAGAAAATATTAATCCAACGGAATCAATCACCACTTTCTCATCAATGGTCTCAATGCAACTGAAAGATACAGTAACATCAGGTATCAAAAACACAATTATATATTGTCAACAATAAATCCACTTTTTTTTTTTTTAATCCTCATCCGAGGACATTTTTCCATTTTTTGTACAGACAGAGTAGGAGGGAGAGAGAGGAAGAGAGAGAGAGGGAAACATCGATGTGAAAGGGACACATCGAGTGGCTGCCACCCACACGACCAACCAGGGCCGGGGACAAACTGCAACCGAGGTACGTGCCCTTAGCGGGAACCGAACCCGGGTCTTTCCGGACCGCAGGTGGACGCTCTAACCACTGAGCCAAACAGGCCAGGGCAATAAATCCACTTTTAATATAACACAGATAAATGAAAGGTAAAGGGATAAAAAAAATGTACCATGCCATCACTAATGAAAAGAAAGCTATACCAGTATATGAATTTCAAGAAATCATGAAGGACAGAGTTAAATTGTACACCACCATTTAATAACTGAATTTCATTATAATCTATGTAATTCTTCTTTCAACAACAACCAAATTCACATTATTCATAAGCTCACATGGAACATTTACCAAAGAAGGACACATTATGAGACATAAAACACACCTTAATAAATTTGAAAGAATAGAAATAATATAAAATATGGCTTTAAACCATTAAGGCATTAATGTTGAATAACAGGAAGATATTTGAAAAAAGGAAAAAAAATGTGAAAATGCAACAACACACTTTGAAACATCTATAACAAAAATAAATTAATTAATAAAAATATTTTCAAAAATAAATAAAAATAAAAGTTAAAAAAAGAAAATAAATTAATGAGAAATTTTGGAGACTGTCTCTGAACTATTCTGAATCTAATAAATGCCTACTCCTAAATCTTCCCCCTTCTATAAAAACAAAACAAGCTCAGCCAGTGTGGTTCAGTGGTTGAGTGCTGACCCATGCACCAAGAGGTTGCCGGTTCGACTCCCGGTCAGGGCACATGCCCAGGTTGTGCTCCAAATCCCCAGTCAGGGGCATGCAGGAGGCAGCCAATCGATGTTCTCTCTCATCAATGTTTCTCTCTCTCTCTCCCTCTCCCTCTCCCTTCCTTTCTCTCTAAAATCAATAAATGGGAAAAAAGTAAAAAAACAAAACAAAACACACTTCTAAATAAATACATAAAAATAAAATTTATGAAAGGTTGAGAGATGTAGCAAAAGCAATACTTAGAGGAAAATTTATGACATTGACATATATACTAGTAAAAATATATAATCAATAATATAAGCACCTAACATTAAGAAACAATAAAGGAATCCACTGACCAGCTAAATAAAACAGCTCAGTTGAGTATATAAAAAAACAATAAAGGAGAAAACTAAACCCAAAGTTAGGAAAGTAAAATAATAGCAATTACAAAAGCTATCGCACTTGGTTCTGGCCATTGCCACATAAAAATTACAACTGAATTATAGAACAATCAACCTGGAGAACCATCTGAAGACTAGATGAACAGAACTTTGATAACTAAGGATATAAAGTAGAAGCCTCATTGAGACCAGCAGAAGTCAAGACCAGCAAAAAAGGCAGAGACGTGAAACATGCTGATCCCACACCTTCCTGTGGTGGTTGAGAATTGAGAGATATTTTAGTTGCAGAGGTCAACCCTAGGGAGAGATCCAAGCCCTGCAGAAGGCTCCCCACCCCAGGGCTCCAGCTCAGGGGAGAGAAGTCCCTGTAGAAGCTGGCTGTGAAAACTGGTGGGGATTTTCTCTCTGCTGAGATTGGGGAAAGCTGGAAACTTAGGCATCCTCTTAATGGGCCTATACACAGATTCACTCACTCATACTCTATCTCCAGTGAAGGGAGAGCAGTTCAAAAGGCACCAGAGACACTCAGGGAGGGGCTCAAATGTGTGGCTTCAGCACAGGGCTGCCACTGACCCTGTGTTGAGCTCTTCCTCCAATCGGTCTGCAGGTGCATGTGAGCACCAAATCTGAATCTATGTTAACTTGGTGAACACCAGTCACCCTACGCAGGTGACTCCCTGAGACCCGCCCCATCCAACTCAGCAAGAGTTCCATCTCTGTAAGATAACTCAAACATCCTCTTAAAGGGCCTGAATACAGACTCACTCAGAAAAACTCAGTGAGCCATGTGCCCCCTGATTAGCGGCTCTAAGCCCAGTGCTGGTGGCAGCAATCCTTGGGTCACAGCATGGCCTTTTCCCATGTGCCTTTAGGCCCAGCATAGGCAGCTACCAACTGTGCATCACTCTGCTCCTAACCAGGTGTACCTGGGCTGGGCACAGGCAGTGGCTGACCTAAGCCTGCACCAAAACCCCTCCCCAAAAACCCCAGAACCAACATACCCAGTGGCACGATTCAGACCAGAACAGAGCAACACCTGATTAGGTCCACTAACAAAACCACCAAAGGGTAATCCTGGTAGGCACTAAAGCCCTGCTGGGGTAAATCCCACTCCTAGAGGTCAGCCAACATTGTGGTTGTGGCCAGGTCTCACACCTAGCCAGCCTGTGGGTCAACCACACCCAGTGATATGCAAATCAAGGCTTGACTACAACAAAAGGGCACACACTATTTACACAAGGCACAGTAATGGAGCACCCAGCTCAGGTGATCAGGAATACTGCACCACCTGGGCCCACAGGACACCTACTACATAAGGCCTCCCTACCAGACTGGGAAATGTGACAAATCTACTTAATGCATAGAAACAAACACAGGCAGCCAAGAAGAGGAGACACAGAAATATGTCCCAAATGAAAAAACAACAACAAAACTCCCGGGAAAACAAACAAACAAACAAACAAAAACTAAGCAAAGTGGAGGCAATCAATCTACCAGATACAGAGTTCAAAACACTGGTTATACTGATGCTCAATAAACTAAGGAAAATAACTCAATGAGAACTTCAACAAAGAAATAATAAACATAAAAACCATAAAAAAGAACGAGTCAGAAAAGACCACAATAACTAAAATAAAAAAAATAAGCTAGAAGGAATCAACAACTGATTAAATGTAGTAGAGGGTTGAATCAGCAATTTGAAAGCAAAGTAGAAAACATTCAAGTGAAATAGCAAGAAGAAAAAATAATTTGAAAGATGAAAATAGCTTAAGAAACTTCTGTGCCCTGGCTGGTTTGGCTCAGTGGTTATAGCACTGGTCCTCAGACTGAAGAGTCACAGGTTCAATTCCCGGACCCAGTTGGGTTCCTGTGGGAGGCAACCAATAGATATGTCTCTTTCACATCGATGTTTCTCTCCCTGCCCCACCCCCACCTCTTCCCCTCTATCTAAAAATCAGTGGAAAAATATCCTCAGGTGAGGATTAAAAAAGAAAAAAGAAACCTGTGGGAAAACATCAGGCATAACATTTGCATCATAGGGATACCAGAGGAGAAAAGAGAAAGCAAAGAGTTGAAAGCCTACTCAAAGGAATAATGACTGAAAACTTCCATAATCTGGTGAAGAAAAGAGACATAAGTCCAGGAAGCACAGATAGTCCCAAACAAGATGAACCTGAGGTCCATATAAAGACACATCACAATTAAAATGCCAAAGATTAAAGAGAAAGAATCTTAAAAGCAGTAAGAGAAGCAGATGGTTGCATACAAAGAAACTCCCATAAAATTGTCAGCTACTTTCTCAATAGAAACTTTGCAGGTCAGAAGGACTTGGCATGAACTATTCTAAGTAATGAAAAGCAAGGACTTACAACCACAATTACTCTGTGTAGGAAGGCTATCATTTAAAATAAAAATATAAAGAGTTTCTCAAACAAGAAAAAGCTGAAGAAGCCCTGTAGGGTATCTCAGTTGGTTAGAGTCACCTCGATAACACTGGGTTTGATCTCTGGTAAGGGCACATATAAGAGTCAACCAATGAATGCATAAATAAGTGAACCAAGAAATCTCCCCACCCCCCAAAAGTCAATATATTTTTAAAAAGAAAGAAAAAGCTAAAGAAGTTCATCTCCATTAAACCAGTTTTACAAGAAATGCTGGAGACTTCTTTAAGAAAAATATGCTACCTACAAGAGACTCACTTCAGAATGAGAGACACACATGTAAACTAAAAGTAAAGATTGAAAAAATATTTTATGCAAGTGGAGATTTAAAAAAGCTGGGATAGCAATACTTTTATCAGAAAAATTTGACTTTGACACAAAGGCTATAT